GCTGTTGCCGGTGCGGTAGGAAGAAGGCTGGAGAGGGCATGGGGAAAACATTTTCCCCCACCCCTCCCAAGGTTAATTAATCTAGTCCGAGCTCATAACTGCAGACGGCTGGACACATGTACACGGCCAGATGGAGGCAGATAAACATCACGCATGACTTCCCAGAGTGATGTTAAGACGACAAAAATCTCCCTACTGAAGAGGGAGATAAGACAAGTACGATGTAACCGGGGGGTGTATGATTACTACGGTAGGCCACAGATGGTTTTCTAATGGGTTGTCGGGTGGGTGAAGTAATCGTTTGGGCAGTCTGTGAGAATGGAAGGCAATACACCAAGGAGATAGAGTACAGTAGGATGAGGAGACGTGCATCAGAAAAGACAGCAAAGTTCAAATGTTTTTGCTATCCTATAACTCTCGGCTTTAAGCAGAGATTTCAAAAAAGCATATGCAGCCGAAAACGAGACAATTAAAAAGAGAAGAGCGCGTAGGAAACAGGTGCACAAAAGGTGAACTATAAATGTACTTATGGTTAAAAAAAAATTTTTTCAATTGTCGAGAGAAAAACGACATTTATGAAAAATACAACCAGTACATGATGTCGATTTAGACGATAAGCCGATTTTTGCACAGGTTTTCTTATGCAACTCCTTTAAAAAAGTCAGTGCTGTTGGAGCTTGTTTTTCGGAAGAAAAAAAACCGCCATGGAAAATAAACTGGCTAAACTGGTTAAGCCCAGTCGGCAGGGCAAGAGAATCAGGTGACCGTAAGCAGACCGTTAAGATAAATATGATCATTAAAAAAGACCCTCCCGCTAGCCCCATCTTACGATGTATGCAAAACACAGACATTGCAAAAAAAGCTTCAGATGTTCAATAGACGAATAACAAAGGTCTGCAGGCATGTATCGTCCTCCCCAAGACACAGTCAGACCCCTACGTAAAGACGGCGGCTGGTGGGGGGTCCAAAATAGTTGGCAGGTCGCACAAAACTGTTACTTAGCCACGGAACCCTC